CATAGATGTAGTAATCCCAAGTGATAGCAACATCAAGAAGAAGGAACACGAGAAGCTCGAGAAATACCAAGGGCTGAAAGAGGAGCTAGAAAAGATATGGAAGGTGAAGGCACAAGTGGTCCCCATGGTAATAGGAACATTGGGGGCTGTGACCCCCAAACTGGGAGAGTGGCTCCAACAGATCCCAGGAACAACATCTGAGATCTCTGTCCAGAAGAGTGCAGTCCTAGGAACAGCTAAGATACTGTGCAGGACCCCCAAGCTCTCAGGCCTCTAGTAGAGGACCCGAGCTTGAAGGAAGGAATAAAAGACCACCCCAAAGTGGGGGGCGAGTGGGGAATTTATATATATATACATATGTATATATTGAAAGATAGAGGGAGAGAGTATGAGAAGCTATCTAGCCACAGGGGTTTCATGCCAGTGACTTCTGTGCTGGTCCCAAGCCCGGATAAATGGAGAGGGTTTTGTCAGGAAGGGCATCTGGCATTAAAAAAAAGTGCTAAATTTACTCATGCGAATGGGATTTGCTGTGGCAACCTCTAACAAGAACAGCCAAAAGTATAGCAGTAGTAAAGAGTATGAAAAGCTGGAGTAGTACCCGGGATGTGGAAGGTGAAGGCCAACATGGTCCCAGTAGGAGCAGTAGGAGCTATGACTCCTAAACTGAAAGAGTGGCTCCAGCAGATCCCAGGAACAACATCAGAGCTCTCTGTCCAGAAGAGCACAGTACTAAGTACAGCTAAGATACTGTGCAGAACCCTCAAGCTCCCAGGCCTCTGGTAAAGGACCCAAGAGCTGTCGTGCTTGCTAGATAGGCTTCATTCATTTCGCAGCATGCGTTAAATTTTGAGCATTGCTCTTGATGGCTTCTTTTGTTTCTCTTGTTTGACTTTGCACTGCCTCTTGACTAATGTGTGTATACTAAAAAAATAACAAAGCCAAATCTTGACAAAATTGTTTGGTAAACCTCCACCAACCTCCAAGGTGAAGGACAGCACCACATCAGATTTGGACAGTGTGTTCTCATCCTCTTGGCCCATGTCCATGATGGCTGTATTGTGGCCTCGTTTCAGCTTCTGTAGCTTGAATTCTCCTCCCTTGGACACCGGCATGCTCTCCAAGTTGGCCATCAGCAAGTTTACAGAAGATCGCAGCTCCTCGATGTACATTGCCTCCATCTCTCTGGAGGAAAACCTGGGAAACCTTCCGCCATACTGACCAAAACAGGAATGTAATCAATGAGTTAATGAGCATTATTTACAGCATTCCCAAAATAACCTTCCAAAAGAACATAGCACCAGTTGTAGACAGTATTGCAACAACACATTGATGTCTGAACTTTAACCTCAAGTCAAATGTTAAATCATAATAAATCAGTCTAAATAAATAAAAATCTTTTAATACTATAGAATTATATATTCTTATCTAAATTGCTATTCCTTGAAGTATTTTCTCACATTCAAAGTTTGAAGGAAAAAAGGAATTCAGAATCAAATACATTACAAATACATTACCAAAGAATGGAATTAATGCTATATGTCAAGGTAAAGTGATGAAAATTTACATATCAGGGCCTAGGAACTGTGCCACCAAACCATCTATCCATCCATTCATCGTTTGTCCCTTACCCGAGCAGTCTGGTCTGCCATCTGGAGTCGTCCATCCAGCTCTCTTCTGATCTGTGCTGCCTGCTCATCAGGGTTGTCCAGCTGTGAAAACAGACACATAATGTATTTCAAGATGGAAACTACAACGACACATATTATGTAATAATAGTAATGAGAATAATAACAAATGGAATTAATTCAAAGGGGGAAAAACAACTTAAAAATAAAGGAAAACTAGTTTATAATTTAATCACATATTGAGGCAAAGTTACTGTATCAACCAATTAGTGGAGATAAGTTAACATGATAAAAATATATTAACACAAATTCCTATTAACATCACCAATTTTTTGACACACAATTAACGCATTCACATTCTGTGATTATGACCCTTTGTTATGGTTTGGACTCGCTTCCTGTTTTGTGCTTTTATAAGAACTACTTACTATTTTTGGGTCCTACCCTTACTTGAGACATAGCACTGTTAGCCCATCCCATAGTTTAGGAATTCAGTAAGTGATACAGCAGCAGAAATGAGCAGAGATAAATAAAGAAAAGGGTCTTTTGAAGGGTAAGTTCAGCATCAAAGCCCTGACAGATGATTCGCTTGACAAGGCCAAGGTTATTTGTATTTACTGTCAATGTGAACTCAGTTACCACTGGTGTTCATTGAGTGTCAAATAGCAGTTGCTGACCAAGCACACAGCTGATGCAAAGAGCCCTCCTCCCCATCGCCAAAGACAGACCATGTTGGATAGTTTGCAACAGAGATGCCTGGACTACAATCTACAAGCAACAAACTTTGAACAGCGATAGCTAAATGGGTGGCTACAGCTTGCAGGCTGATTAACACTGTGAAGGACAAGGGTCTACTTGAAATAATTGGCAACACATTCAGTGACTGCATGTATGAATTGCTTTCAACAGCCACCACTGTAACCAAGATACACAACTTGGATGAAGACAACAAAGCTAAAGTGGAGGAGGCGTTGGGACAGGCAAACACAGTTGGCTCACTGGAGACTACTGGACTTCTCTCATTAATCACAGTTACCTGAGGTCCCTTTTAATATTTAGAATCAGTGATAGAAGAAGTACTCTCGATTAGTATTCTTTACTAAAGTAAAAGTAGCAATACAACAGTGTAAAAATACTTTGTTACAAGTAAAAATCCAGCACTCAAAATGTTACTTAAGTAAAATACAAAAATATTAGCATCAAAACATACTTAAAGTACTCAAAGTAAAAGTACTCATTATGCAGAATTGCACGCCACATTCCCGTATATCATATTATTGTATTATAATTACTGATGCATTATTGTGTACATCACATTTAATGTTGCAGCTGGTAAGGGGGGAGCTAGTTTTAACCAACTTATATACATTTAATTTAAGTATCTGCTGGGTCACTTGTGAATTTCCCACCATAGATCAGTGAGGTCTTATAATTATACTGTATCTTTTATCTTATCTTTATGAAAAGTAACTGGTAACTAAAGTTATAAGATAAATATAATGGAGTTAAGAAGTACAATATTTGCCTCTAAAATGTAGTCAAAAATACTGTAAGATTTGAGTCTTATAGACTGTAGTTACTTTATCAGTTTTAGTTAGTTCTCATGCCTTTAGTTCCCTTTAGTTACCTTTCATAATTTTATCTTATCTGACTACAGCTGTATTGATTATTGTGCATTACTGAGCCCTGGTTATTTTCTAATACATTCATTCTCTTTGCTTATATGTCTTACAATTTGAATGAGATAGAATCTGCTTACTTTCTGTAACCTTTGAATGTCTGCATCTCCCAGGCAACCAGACGACCTATTTACATCTCAACAAAGCCCCACTAGTCCACACCTGGACACACTAAGCATATCCCAAGTTCTGCCCCACCAGGGGGTATCTTGCACACACAGAGGGT